CTGGGAGATGGCTCAGTCAGTGAAGTTTGCTGTGCTAGTGAGGACCTGCATTCAGATCTTTGCACCCACGTAAATAGACAGCTCTAGCAGTGCATCCCTGCAAGTCCAGTGCTGGGGAGCTAGAGAGACAGGAGGATTCCTGGTGCTTGCTGCATTGTCCATTTGCTGGAGTTGGTGAGGTTTGGGGTTACTGAGAAAGTTTTCTTTAATCTCAAAAATTAAGGTGAAGGATGAGGGAGGTATCTTCATGGAAAAATCCCTTGCCACACAAGGGTTAAAAGATTGGAGTTCATATCCCTAGTACCCATGTAAATGTTAGGTGAGTGTGGCAGCTCAACTGTAATTACAGTGCTCTTGGAGTAAGTCAGATTCCTGGGCAAACTGGCTAGCAAGACTTGCCATACTGATGAGCTTGGATTCAAGTGAGAAACTCCACCTTAGTGAATAAGGTAAGGTGGGGAGTGATTGAGGGACACTCTCAGTATAAGTCCCAGGCTTCCACATGCACAAACACACACACACACACACAAGTACTTACTTACATGTGTATCACATACATAAGCATGTATGTGCACATTATATACACAACACACACACACATACACACATGCGCATACATGTAAAACATAAATGAATAAATTATAAGGTGGAAAGTTATCAAGGAAGATAGACCACTGCCTCTACATGCATGTATACACAGACATACACACAGGGATACAGAGGTGAGATGTAGCAGGCTGCTTGGCTCTGGAACCCATGTTGCTAACCATTAATCTGCCTTTATTGTTGAGGTTACCACTGAGCCCCAGGTTGCTATTACTCATATTCTCTTTACAGGGTTGTGACAGTGTTGACTATCCTGTCAGTGGACATGTCATCCCCTCCCCCCCCCGCCCCCGTTTAGATAACAATGGCCTCTTTTTGTATATCCAGTTTGCCAGTGCATTTCCTCTCTAGTCATTGTCCTCTAAGACTTCAAATGCTGATAGTCCCCTTCACTGTTGTCGTCTTTCTGTCTTTCTTATGCTGTCTCTGTACACATCTTCCCAGCCAAGTACTTCTTGACCACACTGGCATGACCTTAGTACCGTGTCACAGTTGGCTATGACCCATGACACTGCACTTCTTCACAAGCTTTAAATTTTGAGTGCTTGTGAATGGCTTACTTTTCCAATGAATCAGACTCACCCCATAGTTACTCTCATAGGACACCACATCACCTCATTTGGATCCCAGTACTATATCCTGGATTGTTTGTGATGGAAGATTGACCATAATTCATTGGCTCATGTTTCCTGAAATGTCTATGATCTGCTGTTATTTATGTGTCATTAATAGTTGTAGCAATTCTGGCAGTGGCTGTGACAGCATACACAAGATCTGTGCAAGCTGAAGCCAAGGCAAAATTCTAGCACAGAGGGGAAAGCTGGGCACAAATTCCACCACTAGCTGAGAAACAGTGGGTAACTGATAGCTGCAGAGAGGGAAGAGTTCCTTATCTCTAGGATGTGATTTACTGGTCGATCTGCATTCTGTTAAGAAGTAAGCTATTCACAAACACTTAAATTTAAAGCTTAATCTGCCCATGTCCACACACCAGAGATCATATAGGCAGTACCAAAGAGACTGAATGGTTTTTTAAAAATGAGGATACAAAGTTGGGTGGTGGCACTGGGAGGAGATGGGGGGAGGGAATGTTCAAAATACAATGGATGAAATGCTTGAAGAATTAATAAAGATATTAAAATAGCTATGACAAATCTGAAAGACTATGGTCCGTGAACTGAAGATATATGCGTGTATTTGTTCCCTTGATTCTACATAGTTAATTAAGAAGAGACACTAACAAAACATGTATATTTACCTGTATGCTCATAGCACAGAAATTACAGTGAGGCCACCCTTAACACTTCCACATCAGGAACAAAGCAATCATCCAAACAAAGGGTTGAGTCAGTCGTGCTCTTGATATTAGCTTGAAGACAATATGGAAATATAATTTCTGTCCATTTTGATGCTAAGATTATCATTATTTTTCTTAATCTGTGTTACTGCATGCTACTCTTCTTATGTTACCTGGAGAGACCTGAATTATACTTTGATATATAGTTCAGTATGCTTTTAATATTAGAAAAGTTTCATGTACATTTTTCCCTTTAAAATGACATGGTTTAAAACCAATAGGTAGATTTCATAATCATTTGTTAGTACAGTTTTGCTTTTTGTTAACTATTTTCTACAAAACAGTTTACAGACCTTTTCCCGTATTTGGTCAACTACTTTATGTATGCACACACGCATGTGCAGATGTTTGTGTTCACATGTATATGTATATGCATATGTATATATGTGTACCTGAATGAGAATATCTCTTGTAAATGCCATCTGTCATCTATAATAGCAAAAACAAACTTGGAATCCTCTGCTTTAGGCTATTGTTTACACCCCTGTGTAACTCTCTGATGTGTTATTGACTCCTAATCTACATCATCATCCATGTTTCCTCATCAGGGGCTGCAGACTCATTTATTAAGTCACTCCCAGGCTCCAGAGACATAGCATACTGAAACTGTATTCATTTTTATCATCTTTCTTCATCCAGTTTACCATTCTTCCAGTGTTGCCCATTTTCATTTACTATGCAGCTTTCCTCCAGTGTGTTAAATACTTCAGAATGATGTTCAGTTTCTGTAGGTCTAACCCAGCAGTGATACTGAGCCAAATATCCATGGAAGCATTGTTCTTTGTATCTCTTGTCTTCACTCTGTTCATACTGTCTGTCAGGGTCATTTTTTTAGCCCAGTGTCTCTCATATTTCAGGATGGCTCAACATTATTAAAACATATTCTGCTGGGCTGTTCATTCCATAAGTAGAGAGATAGTTCCAAGGCATTGCATTTCTTACCCAATGATTTTCTTAGAACGTGTTGAAGAAGAAATCTGATTATAGCACTATGCCAATAAATACATGATATTATACATTTGTGCAAATCTGTATCAGGTTTAAAATGGAAAGAAAAACCTTGAGCAAACCAAAAGTTACGAGTGACAAAGGTTTGTCAATGTGCATTCATCAATTACTAAACACACATCATTTGTAGACAGGATTCTGACCAGAAAAACCTGTGCTTGTCATGGCCTGGGCATGTGAGGAATGCCGTTATCCTCCTCTCAATTCTGCTGTGACTCTATAGTTGTTGGAAAAATAAAGTTCAGTTAAAAAAAAAATCATGTATGCAACTGTCATGAAATGCCCAGAACACAGCATTTCACAGCTCTCCTTTCTTATGGTCTTTCTGACTCACTTTTGGATGTTCCCTGAGCCTCAGGTTGGAGGAATGTAAGGTAGTGGTCCCATCTCCAGCTCTGTACTCAGAGTCACTTAGTGTCAGTATTTTAACCAGTTAAGAGTCTCCGCATTAGTCACCATCTACTGTGGAAAGTTTCTCTGACCAAGGTTGAGATCAGAGCCACAAACAACTCTCTGGATATAAGCAAATTTCAAAGGCAGTTTGTTAACACGACTGTTTAGCAAAACAGCACCAGATGTCCCCTAGAGCCTATGACTTTCTAAGACAGAGGCTTTTGGGGATATGGCTGCTGGCATATTGCTCCAGGGGATGGCCCTTAGCTCATGCATATGTGGGAAGTGCTAATCAGTCAGTACGTTATTTATTTCTAAAAGAAAGTATTCTCCCGTACATTACATCCTGACCATAGTTTCCGTTTCCTCCTCTCCTCCCAGTCCCTTTCCTGCCCCATCCACACTGCCTCTATTTCCCTTCAGAAAAGGGCAGGCATTCCAGGGATATCAACCCAACATGGTATTTCAAGTTGCAATAAGACTAGGCACCTCCCCTCATATTAAGCCTGCTGTGCATATCGCTTTGTATAAATAAAATGCTGATTGGCCATTAGCCAGGCAGGAAGTATAGGCAGGACAAGCAGAGAAGAGAATTCTTTGGAACAAGAAGGCTGAGTGAGGAGACATTGCCAGCCACTGCCATGAGTACCAACATGTAAGATACTGGTAAGCCACAAGCCATGTGGCAAGGTATAGACTTATAGAAATGGGTTAATTTAAGATAGAAGAACTAGATAACAAGAAGCCTTCCATGGCCATACAGTTTGTAAGTCTCTGTGTATTTACTTGGTTGGATCTGAGTGGCTGCGGGACTGGCGGGTGAGAGAGATTTGTCCTGACTGTGGGCCAGGCAGGACTGGAGAAAACTTCAGCTACATAAGCCTGGATGAGGCAACCCAGTAAGAGGAAAAGGGCCCCAAAAGTAGGCAAAAAAATGTAAATGAAGTGATTCCTAATGATACTCTGCTATACTTGTAGACAGGAGCCTAGCATAATCACCATCAGAGAGGCTCCATCTAGCAACTGATAGAAATGGATGCAGAAATCCACAGCCAAACATTAGGTAGATCTCCAGAATCCTGAAAGGGGCAGGGGAGGAAGGGTTGTAGGACACCACAAGAAAACCCACAGCATCAACTAACAGGGCTCATAGGGGCTCACAGAGAGTGACCAACAATCAGGGAGCCTGTGTGAGTCTGCTAGGCCCTCTGCATATATGTTCTGGTTGTGTAGCTTGGTCTTCTTGTGGGACTCCTAACAGCATGAGTAGGGGCTATCTCTGATGCTTTGCCTGCTATTGATATTTTTTAAAGGACATGGCATTTGAAAGGAGATACATTGGGAGGTCCTGGCAGGAGCTGGAGGGAGGTTGAGGTAGAAGATATGATCAAAATACAATGTATACACATATTAAATTTTCAAGAAGTAAAGAAAAATATTTTAAAAATAATGTTTGCAGAATATAGCATGTATAATATGATGCATGAATTTATTGCCCAACCCCAAAATCTTTGTAGCTTTTGGTATAGACATCCTGTCTTTCCCTGTCTGGGTTTCATACTCGAATAGAATGTCTGTTGAACAGAATGTAAGGGAGGAGAGAGAATTGTGACTTAAGAAAGAATCATTGGTTCAGAACTCCAATGGATGCCATTACTAAGAAAGAGCAAGAGGACAGATGTGATAGTGAAGATGTTGGCAGCAGCCCGCTGCTCTGTGAAGGCAATTCTTCATCCTGCTGTGCTTGGCCATTCTAGGGAAGCTGTACATAAGCTTGTGATCCCTCGGAAAAATTTCTGCTTACATCACACAGTGCATCCCCCAGCTAAGTATGGTGGAAGGCAAACTGTGACTATGATTCCTGGAGATGGCATTGGACCTGAGCTTATGGTTCATGTCAAGAGAGTATTCAGATCAAATTGTGTGCCAGTGGACTTTGAGGAGGTGTGGGTGACCTCCACATCTACTGAGGAGGAGGTTCTTGATGCACTTATGGCCATCCGTCGGAACCGTGTCGCTCTGAAGGGCAACATTGCAACTAATCACAATCTGCCTATCACTTACAAATCTCACAACACCAAGTTTCGAACCAGCCTTGACCTCTATGCCAGCGTCATCCATTACAAGACTTTTCCTGGTGTGGAGACCCGGCACAAGGACATAGACATCTTAGTAGTTAGGGAAAACACAGAGGGCGAGTACACTAACCTGGAGTACGAAGGCGTGAAAGGCGTGGTAGAGAGCCTCAAGATTGTGACAAAGGCCAAGTCTCTGCGCATTGCTGAATATGCCTTTAATCTTGCTCAAAAGATGGGGCGCAAAAAAGTGACAGTTGTTCACAAAGCCAACATCATGAAACTGGGAGATGGACTTTTCTTTCAATGCTGTAAGGATGTGGCAGCTCACTACCCCCAGATCACCCTTGAGAGTATGATTATAGACAACACCACAATGCAGTTGGTATCCAATCCCCAAAAGTTTGATGTCATGGTGATGCCCAATCTTTATGGCAACATTGTCAACAGTATCTGTACAGGGCTGGTTGGAGGGTCAGGACTTGTGCCTGGAGCCAATTATGGTGACATATATGCAATATTTGAGACTGGTTCAAGGGAAATAGGTAAAAATTTAGCTCATAGAAATATTGCCAATCCTGTTGCCATGCTGCTAACCAGCTGTATCATGCTGGACTACCTTGGTCTTCACTCCTATGCCATGGAGATCCGCTGTGCCATTATGGCATCCTTAGAGAACAAAGCCATCTGCACACCGGACATAGGAGGTCAAGGTACTACATCAGGTGTTGTGAATTTCATCATGGAATATATGAAAAGTCATGGATGCTCTTGTCATCCAAATTTGCTCCTGTCCTACACTTGACTCACCCCCTCAGAAACTCCAGCCAGCTTAGCTAGCATGGATAGAGAGTCAACATTGCCTCCAATTCACTGAAAGGGAAGGGGGATCATCAGTATTGATCTTTTCATTGATTTTAAATGCAATAAAAATTGCTTATTTGAATTAGCAAAGCTTATTGAAATATGGACAAATGGAGGTGGAGGAATTTCCCTGAAAGTTTATTCCAAAGTTCTCACCTCTCTGGGGTATGACATACTGACTGAATCAGAACTCTTCATAAAGTTCTGAAGCTTTCTCAGTACCTAAAGGTGATTTCTCTCTTTATCTGAGCCATTGGAATTCAGCAATCCAACTAAAGGGGATCCTGGGCTGGAGAAAGTTATTATTGAGTTGATCAGAGTTGGCCTACTAAGTACACATTGTGACTTTAATAATGGCACTGAGCCAGTGCAGAAAGCCTCCACACCCACAATGCCCTCCTTTCCCTTGATGATGCTTGAGATATTTTTGTTAGGAATCCCCCTTGGACCACTAAGCTCTCCTAGAAAGAGAGAAACTTTAACTTAAACTTCTTTAAATTGTACTGAAAAATGTGGCTGTCAAATCTCCCCAAAGTCACTAAGTCCATAGTTTTCTGCTATATAAACAGAACCTTGGAATACAAGCCACACATTCAGTGATTTACAATTTCTTGTGGTTTATTTGCCAACTATGAAAAATTATATGTAAAAATCAAAAGCCATGAGCTAACTTAAATACTTGCCATTATTTTATTTACAGTACTTTAAAAGTTATAATTGGGAATAAGGCAAACAAAACCTTATTAGTACTTGAAAGAAGTTCTTAAGTAGAAAATGTAAAAATGATTATACAAACTCACAATAATTTTATCAGAAGGAATGACATGTGGATGGAATTAAGATTGAGAGATCTGCAACATCTGCATATCTCACCTATCAGCTGTGGATACCAGCATGCTTCATTATCACACACTAAAGTTCTTTATCTGGGACCATGAAAAGGTCCCAGAGTTGTGGGTTCACTTTTCACAATGACCACATATCCACAGCCAGGCTAGTTGGATGGATTTTTCATAAAGAGGAAGTGATTGACAGTCCTACGTAGAAGTTCCTGAAGAAGGCAGGCAGGCAAGTGGGGATTTTCAAACAACCGGAGTAGTGTTGGTTGGTAGCCCGCCTCTTCTTACATGATCCAGACCTACACCAGTGCCATTGTGTGGTCAACAGAGTGAGGATTTATCCTGCTGTCTCTACCTGCTATGCCACAGTGGCCAAATTAACTAGCCCACTCCCCACTTTTGACCCTTTTTCCAAACACTAGAGGTATGTAGTGGGTAATACCAATTTATACATGACAAGATCTGTATCACTTAGAAGACGAGGATTTGTATGATCCTGTGAGGGCTATCTAGATTGTTAGCCTCTGGGCATGTCTATGATGACTGTCTCAGTTAGGTAAATTGACACAGGAGGACCAATCCTAACTGCCAGATGAGGAAAAAGAAGAAAGTGAACTAAACACAGGTGTTCATTGTTCTCTGCTTCCTGACTGCAGATGCAGTGTGACCAGCCACCCACCGCAAGCCCCACCCATTAAATCTTCCCCATCACGATGCACTTGAAATGGAGGCCAAAAGAAACCCTTGCTTTTTAAGTTCCTTTAGTCACAGTATTTCATCATGGAGACAGAAGTTAGGGAATACTGGGACTTTATTCAAAGCACAGCCAGTTCAACTGCAGATGCCCAACTCTTAGCAAATGTTTAACTGTCGGGGGGTGGTGGTGGTGGTGGTGGTGGTGTAGAATGATGTGTTTGAGCTAATGTCTACACCCAGGTTAAAAATGTTCAACCCCTGACACCCTCTGGACCAGACTCTGGAGGTGACAACCTGTCACCTGTTATTGCCATTCTCCATTTTCATTGTTAGACTCTTCTACTTGAGTATCTCTAGGGAGCATGGTGTAAAGCTATTCTTCCTTGTTCCCTGTATCTTTTCCATAATGACTGGTACACTGAACACAAGTAATTGCATTTTTTTAAAGTAATGAAACAATGGCACTAGTTTAATACTCTTAAATATTGAGTAAATAATAATGGTGCCTATCTCCTAGCATTGCTGAAAATGCAAAGAAAGGGCCACATTTTGCCTGTTACATAGCATCTAGTAGGTTTCCAAAATTACCATCCTCATTATTGCCTATTGGATGCCATGGTGAATGATGATCCTGAAGGGAATCGGTTTATTACATAAGAAATTGTGTACAGATTAGCATTCCATAACATATTTTCAACCAGGAGAGCAAACTATTTTCTTTAAGTCCTCTGATCCTCTTTCCATTTTATTTCTTTTTCCTTTTTGCATGTGTATGTCTGTTATATATTGTATATGTATGTTTCTGCACATGAGTGGATGCATGTGTGTATGAACATGCAAGTATGTGCAATGGGAGCTTCCTAGTATCTCTTACTTCAAAGTATTCCCTGTTAACTTGTGTCTACCTGTAATTCCCTTTCTTCTGTTTCCTACAATGTACCTAATGTGTTCCTTTTGAACCACAATAGAATTATGTCACCTCCTTCCTCAAGACTCTCCCATTCAGTGGCTTCCTTTTGTCCTTTAGAGAAAGGCAGCTAAACAAACACAATGTGCTCCTGCCTATAGAATGACTGAGAAATCCATCATTGAAGAGTCAAGACCTAGGATGGGGCAGGCTCTTCATTCATGTTCACCCTAAGTATTTATGGAAGGAAGCAAGGACTGAGTGAGTGAAAGGTTCCAAGCATAGACAAGTGTTGGCAACTAGAACTGATTTATTGCAAAAAACCTCGTGCCTGGCTTTCATCTGCAAACCTCTCCAACACTGTTCTTTTCTAAAGAATTCTGGGCCCACAGGGCAGTGAAACGGGTTCCTGTTGGGTATGTTCCCTGAATTTGCTTTATTACACTTAGTACATCATCTCACCTGCCTACATTCATCCCATCCTCTCATTTTTGTCTTTATCAGTTGCTTTTAGTCCAGAATATAAAGAACAGCAGCATTCTCTCTGCCTTTTCTCTAACTTCATTCTCACCAGGCCTCCCTTTTGACTGATGATCTTACAAATTACTCAATCATTTAAACACTAGAGTTGGCACTCATCCCTAGTCTGCTCACATAGGTATGTTGACACTGGAAAAGCTGCTTACCCTTTCTGATATCTGGCTTGCTTATTATTTTAGAAGGTCAAAGCCAACCTACATGGGATTATAAAATTTTCTCTTGGGGTTTATTGCTAAATGGCATCCCAAATCTAGTTGTTTAGGACAAATGATTGTGTGTCATGGTTCTGGAGGTTAAAGGAAGTACTGAGAATGGCTGGGACACCAAAGGTGGCTTCCTGTAAATTCACAGTAATGGCTGCCTGTCAGAATCCTCAATTCTTTCCCACATGAAAATTTGAGGTAATTGATCTCTTCATAGCATGGCATGTGTTTCTAGGCAAAAAGACCGAGGCTGTAGATTTCTTAAGGCTTGGCCTTGAAAGTGTCTCAATACTGTTTCTCCCACATTCCATTATTCAGAACAGCATTAGAGATAGAGCAGATTTAAAAATAAGGAAATGATGAGAGGGTTAAGGTTAATATTGGGGTCTGGGGGAGAGATAAGGCCTCATTGCCCCAAAGTCCAGTGGAATACAGAGTGATATGTGGCCATATTTGGAAATGCTCTTGCCCATAATCATTCATTTCCGTGTCTGACTTGTTTGCTAATAGGCACTACTTAGCCAGAAGTTGCTCTTCTGATTCCCTATTTACCTCTACACCTACTTAGCTTTAGGGTCTGTGAAGTCTGCTTTATAATGTGCCCTGTGTCAACTCCATCCCCCCTCACTTCTATGCTTTTGCCAACTAAGGGTTATTTACAGAGCCTTCTACTAGTGTACCAAGTTTGAACACCTTCACCTCACACCTTGCAAGAACAACTCATCTACTAGGTCTTACTATATCACATAGTCTTTGGGAGTAGGAGACATTTCTTGCTGACCTAATCTTTGCATTGACCAGAACAGTGCTTACATAGGAGGTACACATACCACATTAGGTGGAAAATAATAATTGCAATTTATATGATATATTTTGTCTATTGTATTATATTCCTTATTCTGCATACTTTGCACTTAATGTTTATTTAATCTTCATGTTAACCCTATTCAATGAATATTATCACACTCACCATTTAATAAAGGAGAAAACAGAGAAACAGAGACACTAAGAAATTTGCTTGCAGTATCACCAGCATGAGGGGTGACAAAGGTAGCTCCAGAATCATAATGTTTGAGTGGTCAGGAGCATTTGAGATGGGGAATTTCTCACTTTGATGTAAAAGAAAACTAGTTTTCTGCAATAAACCCATATTTCCATTTCATAGGCACATGTAGAGTTCAAGGAATTTTGGGAGCTGCTTTCTAGAAGCTGGCCTTGATCCCAAAGATTACAAAACCTGATGAGCATTGGTACTGGCTCAGATCTAAAGTTCTCACTTCTCTGCAATGTTTCTCCTTGTGTGGCCCACAGGCACATGGAGCACTGGTGTGTCTAAACATTTACTATGTCAGGTGCTCTAAGTGTGTCCTGCATGTGAGCAGTATACTTCTTACATTGTTATTTGATGACTGAAGTATGGGAAGTTTAGTGTCTCCCTCAGGGCCAATGGGTAGTCAGTGGGGAGACAGAATTAAAGTTTAGAGGGCAGCACCAATATTTAACTTTCACCACTAATCTGATTTCTAAATTGAAAGTTACTGACATGGCCCAGAGAGAGGAAGGTAGAATTTACAGACATTTGAGATGATCCTGCATCCCAAATTGAGCATCAAATGTTGAAGAGAGTGACATTTCAAAAACATGAAGTCAGGAGCCAGTGAGATGGCTTGGCTGGCAAGGGTATTTATCCTCAAGCCTGGGGATCTTGGTTTGAATCCCAGGACCTACACATGGTAGAA